TCGCCTTAGTAGTAAAAGTCGTCTGGACGCCATCAGAGTTTGTCGTCGTGATGACCTGTGTGATTGTCTCTACAACCGGAGACTGCTCGGGTGGGTCTGAGTTGCCCGGGGAGTTTGTTGGACTCGGGGTTGGCGATGTGGCAGGGGGTGGAGGCGTGCTCGATGGCGGCTGAGGCGTACTCGTCGAGTCGGGCGGAGGGGGCGGAGTTGATGTTGGTTGTGTTGGAGGAGCTGTGGTCGATCTGGTGGTGGTCGAGGTTGTGGAGGCAGTTGTCGGCGGCGGCGTCGTTGTAGTAGAGGTAGCGGCAGCAGAGACTGAGCCGTCACCTGTCTCCTGCCGACGCTGGATCGCTACCCCATTCTGGCCAGCAAGTCTAGGATCGATGAAGGCGGCCTCGGCGACGGTCATGACCGAGAGACCGATGGCCAACAAATCGAGTATCCGTCCGCAATGCATCGTGTACGATGTTGGCGGATGAGTGCGATTGGTAGTTTGTGGTCGCGATAAAGGCGAGGTTAGGCGGTGGGGGAGGCTTGCCCCAATGACAAATCGATATCTCGATGCCTGGTGGTGTACGGTCAAATAACGAGTGTTGGATATTCGGCCGGCCAAGTGACTGAAATGGAATAAAAGATTCGCTCGGGCGCGTGGTGAGTTAACGGTTTGTCGGAAATTGTGAAAATAAAATCGCAGGAGCCTGTGAATCGAAGCACGGTTGAGAAAAAGGCGACCAGGTGAAAAAACCTGGCGGGAAAATGCGGGAATGGAAAACGAGTGACGGGGGGATGTGTGGGTGGAGTGGTTGCCCCAAGAACTATTTGGGAAAGACGGGCAGTTGCGATGAGGGCGAGAGTGTTGGTGAAACGGAACGGAGCGTAGGACACGAGGTGCAACCGAAGAATGGATGCTGCAGCTGGCAAGCAGGGGCCATGGAGGCACGGGAGGGTCTCGTTGGGCGTTTTTCCTTGCTGCCTCGGCCAATCGTTCTTCGTATTCACACCCGCGAAGCCACACTCGATCGGCCCCCTCGGAGCCAAGGACAACCTAAACAACCTACCTCCCGCATCGGCGGCCGACCTGGAGTCTAGTATTGGCAGTGCTTGGCGGCTTGGTGCGGGACGATAACTCCGACAACAACTCTGACCTGAACTTGCCACTGCAACTCTTTTCCCATCTCCGCTAGAATTTCGCTGGAGCGGGTTCGGATTCTTGTGATCCCAGGTTCGTCCCATCTCTCACAGTTGGCCTCCCCCGGGCCGACAATGTGGAAACGCCAAGGGACAAACTTTTCAGGTACAGCAGGTCCTGGTGGTCCCCTCATGCAATTAACCCAGAACTACTCCCACACAATGGAGGCAGCACGGGGCTCCGCCGTTCTCAAGGTGAAGCGCTATCGTCGAATGATTGGCTGCGCTCGAAACCAGGCGAGAAGCTCATCGAATCTTGGCTGTCACCCACGCCACCGTTATGTTGCGCGTGCTGCAGATTGAGACTCGCGCAACCAGGTGCAGCTCCTGGCATGCATGACGTTTCCCGGGCCTTTTCTGAGCCATCGCCCCTCTGATCCTTTGGAATCGATGCACTCGCTGGCTTTTGTGTATCTTGCTGAAACCATTCTGGTCGATCTCAACAGCAATCAATCGACCAAACGGAGGGAGGGAAGCCCTACCAAGCATGCCAATGCAAACTACCGACCGTTGAAGCCTGCCCAAAATAACAGCTCGCATGCCACTAAGGCATGCAGGAGAAAACCCCCATGTCATCTGATGATCCAACAATTCCGAGTGCAGCTGAACCATCATACTCGCCTCAGAATAGCCGGCCTGCCGACGTAGTGGGGTGTGTTCCTTCAGCACCTCAACACTCTCGGGCCCGGCTCTCGGTGACACATTTAGGGTCCAAGGCCGCTCCATATCATGCCCCGGCCGCGTCGCGGCAGTCTGGACGAAAACCGGCCTGCCTGACTCGGACCCCGGACGCCATCACCTCCTTCCCGTCCCGATGAGAGCGTGGCTGCCCGTCGATGCTACCCACCAAGCCAGGATTACAACCCAGGCAGAGTGCAGCCATACGGAATGGCCGCGGATCGACCTGATGTATGACGAATGTCGGCATACAGAGTAGCCCAGTAAACAATGCAAAACAACAAGCAAGGCCGTGAATAAACCAGCAAGCGCAGTGTGATCAAGCTGCTCGTTTTCAGTTGCGGGCAGAAGCTTTTCCCAGTCAAGCTTGCATACTTTACAAACCCAGCCCTGTAGGGACCCGGGGATCTGTGTCAACGATGAGACGCAGGGGCCCAACGATAAACTCTCCAGGGAACCAAGGACCCGCGTTTGGGGTGTGAAGTTGGATATGTGTCAAGGATGAGCTCGAAAGTATCAATAGCTACTTGATGAGGCCAAGGTCTGTCCAGCAAACACACCCCCACCATTGGCCACAGACTCCAGGTGTCTATATCTTGGATATCATCCTTCTCCATTGTAACTCCCCGCGAATGCTCTTTGTGGCCCAATGGCAGCAGGTACATGTGGCATGCCGTCAATAAAGACCCAGGTCACTCGGCTGCCACTTCAGTTGAGGTGTATTCCGGTTAGAAGAAGCGCGACTAGATTTAAAGTCCCTGTGGAGTGCTCAGGTTCTCCCATATCTACTCTACAGCTCTTCGACGGCATCGGCTGGCATGCCTCGTGCCCTCTCTGTTGATTATCTCATATTCCCCCCAGGCATCGAGGACAGCTCAGTTCTGGCCTCGGAACATATATTCATTCTGAGCCGGCAATTCCACCATCTACCATCATACTACCGGGGAGGTGCAACGGTGGGCATTGGAAACCCTGGGCAGTCCTGTTCCCGACGTGAGGCAGCCAGTGGAAGCTCGGGAACATACTCGGCAGTAAATATGACACAGAGGAGACAGCGTCAAACAATATGGTAGTTAATGTGGAATGGAAAGCTCGACAAAACCTCGTTGGTCCTATTTCCTTTCTCTTGCCCCCTTCTCCCTGCCCTCTTCTGCTTGCCCCTCGCTCTCTTCCTGCTCTCTCCTTCTTGCTCTGCTCTTCTTGCTCTCTTTTTGCTCACCTATTGTGTGTCATTTCTGTCGCAGTTACTCGCAGGCCTAATTACCAATTGCTGGCCCGTAAAACTACGAGGCCCATGTGGCATGCAGGTGTGCCCGTTCATCGTCAGGCTGAGAGCGTTGTATATACCTATCGTATAGGCACCGGGAGTGTCCCGATGCTACACACGGTACCCTCCGGATAGCTCCGCTGCCATTGACACATGGTTCGGACTTATAAGCTTCGGGATGATACACTGCAGACTGGTGGAATCTGCTTGGTATCAGGACACACGACCCTCCCTGTCAGTCACCACATCGCGCCCACGGACACTGCACCCTTGGCAAACCAACAAAGAAAAGGATAGGTAAGCTATCATGTGCGTGAATAGATGCCTTGGCTAGCACCCTCACCCACACTGCTGTCAACCCCCAATAGCTCCCGCGTTACCATACCAGTTACGAGGGACGATGTCAATCCTCAGCATGCAAACCCACAATAACACTGCGACTTCCCTTTCTCACTCCAGGGCAGTCTTTTTGCCAACTGTCATCAACGGTCGAGCACTAGGTATCAGCTTCGGCGAGCGCACTTGGTTGCCATCCATTGGAGTATCAGGAGAAGAGACACTGTGCCCGGCGTGATTTAATGGGTTGCTCGTATTTTACTCTACGGCCTAGTGAGTTACGTACGATGGCAGCTTCGAGCCTGTGAGTCGGAAGGCCGGAAAGATTCCGGAATGCCAGTTTTGTAGCAATTCCAACTACCTCGACGGTGAATTGGGTGCTTCCTGGGAAGCATCTAGTTATATATATAGTATTACCGCCTGATGAAAGGTCTCTTGGTATTTGTTCCACTCCCCAATACTCACCGAATACGTACTCATCCGGGCGAGGCAATCTATCGACACTACTCGACATCGATTTTGTAAGGATCCGGGTGGGGAATACCTATTTAAACGGAAACCCCAGCACAGCATTCGAGGGTATATCTACACAACGCGGCATCACCAGCGGATCTGGCCCGGAGATATGTAATTGATCCTCCATCCACCCGCCCTATCCGGTGTCGACGAATGAGACGTCACAAAAAAAAAAAATGACGGAAATAATGTGGTGTTTCTTGACATTTAACGGGAGAAAAACGGCATGCCGAGAAAAACAACCAAGTCTAGACTCGTAGCCACCCTGTGGTGCTTTATCACGGGCGAGTTCACTAAAACTATGGCTCGGCAGTTTGCTAATCGCGGCAATAAGGTAAGCTCAATGTCATCTGGAGCTTTCATGATGTTTCTCATGCTGTAGAGACGAGCGCATCACTGTTGGCGGTTATCACTATGTGGTCGCTGCCCGAGTCAGCACCATGGCGTGTCCAACTCGAAGTCAAACCTGCAGCAAAAGGAAGCTGCCAAGGTATTTCCGTGGTCACCTTAGCTACGTTGCATACGGCAACATGTGGTATTGATGGGTCAGTGGTTGGCGCTAGAGTCGTTTCACTGCTCCCCCTATCGTGTTAGCTCCGCCGAGGTCGCCCTGAGGAGCCGTGAAAATAGGCCACCTCGTCGGCATCTACTTGGGCAGTAAAAGGGAACAACCTGCGCTACATTGGGGGGTGACATATGTGCTCCGAGATTGTACGTCGTAGCTGAGTGCAAGTTTACTAGGCACCAAGCACGTAGGCTTTCTTCGACGGGTTGCCCTTTGAGGGAGGTGGATTACTCAACCCCCTGGCGAACTTCAGGTTTGTCGACAGGAAGACATTGCCATTGGCAGCGCACTACTAGGCAGAGCTCGAGCGCAAAATAGCAGGCCAGGCAACAGTCAAATTACTGACGACGTGGTCGTTACACTCACCCATGAATCCCAAGCACCTGCCAACCAGAAATTATAGAAAAGAAAACCCGGCTACAGCAAAAAGGAATGCTGAACACGGTGTATCTCTCCCGCCGGGAATTGAACCCGGGTCCCGAGCGATGTTTTTCCTCATCTCAGAAGAGGTGAGGAAGGTGACAAGCTCATATACTGACCACCATACTACGGAAGATTGGTAAATGTCGAACATTTACTGTAGAGCGTGGTTGCGCATTCGAAGGTGTCTGCAGCTTCCTACCACTGCGCCTGCTATTGGTGATTGATGAATGGGCAGTCAGTAGCCGGCACTCATCTAACGCGCTCCAGTGAAGATGGGGCAGGGTGGGTGTGGGTTATGGTTCTTCATCTCTGGTGGTGTGGTGGGTAAGCGTCCTTCGAGCACCTTACATAAGGCCACACACGGGTCTATTGTTAGAAGCAGCCCTATCGATAGGGGTAACCCGCCTGACAGTGCCTGGACGTGACTGATTCCTCATTTCCCCTCTCAAAACACCAACATTGCAGGTTACAGTTTTCAAGCGTCTCAGTCATCGCGCAGGTGAAGTGGAGGGGACATTCATATGTAACGATGCGCACTTGAGAGGCACTCTCCTGAGTCCGGGAAACCGGCAGAGGCTGCCATGGTTGTCACAGACGTTGAATGCTAGCGAGGGAGAGCTGAACACTACACCGCATAGTGTACTCCAGCCAGCCCGCCCTGTTTCTGATTTCACCTTGTTGTGTTCAGCCCACCCAGCCTGGTCCTTCGCCACCGCATCTGGACCCGGCTAGTGCCATTGATTTGGCTTAAGCGCGCAACACTATTTGGTCTCACCGCGCGATGAAGGTCCCAGTGCTTCGGTATCGTCGCCATCCAGGCGCTCTCCTATTCGGCGTTTTGCTTCTTTCCATACCTGCGCCCATGCTTTTAGGATTCTAGCTGCCGAGTACCCATCAAACGGCGTTGCACTACTCTAAATTCAGCGAGCCATATAATCGGGAGGTCGGACTTGTCACAGACCAGCAAGTGGCAGCGGCTTTGTCAGGAACACTGAACAATGCGCTATTAACAACCCTGGTGTGACAAGCGAGTGGGAGCGCATCGTCCAAACAAAAAAAGCCACGATCTGGTACCTTGCAGATGGCAGCAGCTAGCCACGGTACGTACCCTCCTGCAGGGGAGGAGAGGGTGGCGCGTAAATCCAGAACGCGACGTGGAAGGATGGGGAGGAAGATCACAGCCCAGAAAAGACGGCCAAAAAATTGGGGATCAAGCCAGAATGCGGAGGTGAGCACGAACGGTTCGATCGAGCTCGCAAGGGCTGGTTACGCACTTTTGCCCGGTTCGCCGTTGTCGATCGCATCGACTTGGCCATAGCCGCACACTCCCATGAAGGGAATTGATGAGCAAGTAGCCGTGTCGCACAAACCTGGAGAACCATGTGGGTTCTCAAACCACACGTGCAATGAGATGTCATGGACACTGAATGCATCGACACTGGCCAAACGGCGCGAGGCAATGAAAAACTGACGCCCAGAAAAGTCTGCGATTAGATTATTGCAGTGGGGTGGTTGAAAGGAGAACCGGGAAATTTCAATAAATCTTTTTCTGTTGTTGTCAGCTCTTTTTGACTCAGCCCGGTAAGGTGAAAGTGCTCCCCGCTGACGCCGAGTCCAGAAATACGTCCTTATTTGGGCATGGCGGCGCATGCACGAGCCAGCCTGCCAGGAGTTCTTGGCAGGGGCAGGCCGCACAACCGACGTGGTGCACGGCGCTCCTCCCCGTTTCCTCTTTTGTCTTTGACATTTTCGGTTTCGCGCCCGGGTGTGTGCAACCCGTTCGCCGTTGCGGCCAGCCCAGGTGGGGCAGGTTTTTCATCTTCTCTTTTCGGCGAGAATGGCAACCAACAAGGAAAGCTCGGAAAGCAACAGCAGGCTCTTCACAGTAGAGCACTAGGAGAATGAGTTGCGGAGAAGAGGCTCAACTCTTGAACCTATGAGCCGGGATCCTTCGTGCTAGGTCCGCCAACGCGCCCCCGCTATTGCTGGCTAACATGCATCCATAAGCAGCACGCAACAAGGGAAATTGGACAGGCCGCAAAAGGGAGCTGGCCCCGACCGCCGGCTACCAAGTGTGCCATTGGCGAGAATGCGCCAGCTCGCTGGAAAGCGGGTTCTGCGGGTCTCGGGGCGCATGTTGAAGGGTGGGTGATGCTGGGGCATGGGGAGCGAGGGTGGCATGCAGGGCCATGGCAATTTCCACACCTCTCCTCACGGTAACCAAACCTAGCGCTTGGCCTTGACGCTATGAACTGCCCCCCTGCTACGCCGCCTGCTCGTCCCGACCTGAGAGGCTCGAGGAGGCTGTGTGGTTCACGATGGTCTACCATGGCTTGGCTGAACAGTAGCTAGAACGTCAAGGTAGCGACCTGGGCTCCCCAGCCTTGACCCTTCCTGGCCACGGGCAGCAAGAATGGGGCCATGGGACGGCGACCCATGCCGCCTCGAGACCCAATATGAAGGGGCACTCCCACCGTCCTTCTGCTCCAGCTTTCTCTCCTTCCGGTAGTGTCAAGTCAACACCAGAACGGCGTGTTTCCTACAGCCGTTGCAAACCTTTCGTTTGCGTCCTTTCGTTCGGTCGATTTCATATCACCACACACTCTTTACGGCCTAGGCCTAGCACAACAGCTCACCACACTCTTTTCAAGAACCCCCTAATATTCTTAATTCCAACCTGATAATGTACAAGAAGACTCTCGCCCTCGCGGCGCTCGCCGCTGTTCCGGCTCTTGCCGACCCCGGTGTCAATGTTTACTGGGGACAGAAGGGCAACGTCAGGCTTAGGGATAGATGTGACCAGGGCGACTTCGAATACATCACCGTTGGCTTCGTCAACTACGCACCCGAGGCCGACACCACAGGCCTCAACTACCCCGGCACCAACTTCGCCGCCAACTGCGACTACGGCTACTTCAAGAACGGGAATGGCGATGACTCGAAGCTTCTCGACTCATGCACCAAGATCGCCGAGGACATTCCTTACTGCCAGTCCAAGGGCAAGAAGGTTCTGCTTTCGATTGGTGGTGCGGCTGGCGATTACGAGGTCAGCAGCGCGGCAAACGGAGAGTACTTCGCCGAGTTTCTGTTCAAGGCATTTGGTCCCTACGATGCCGCTTCAGCTATTCCGCGTCCTTTCGATTTCGGTGGCGCGCACGTCACAGTTGATGGCTATGATTTCGACATTGAGAAGAAGTTTGGTAAGGCAGTCTAAACTGGTGTTGGAATGGTCCGAGTATCAATATATGACTAACATATCCAGACGACAACTCCGGCTACATTGCCTTGATCGCCAAGCTGCACGAGCTCATTGTCGCTTCCGGTACCTCGTACCTCGTTACTGCCGCCCCCGAGTGCCCGCTGAACCCGGACTTCTTTAAGATGAAGGATATCATTGATGCGTCCGTCTTCGACCTCTTGTTCATCCAGTTCTACAACAACCCAAGCTGCGATGCGACTACTTCGGCCTTCAACTTTGACGCTTGGGTCAGCTACTTGGAGAACACTCCCAGCAGCGGTGCCAAGCTTTTTATTGGCCTTCCAGGCGATTCCACTTCCGAGTCTGCTGGCAGCGGTTACCTTTCTACTGCGGCTGCTGCTCTGCTCATCGCCGAGTATAAGACTAAGCCCTCTTTCGGTGGTGTCATGCTCTGGGATGTACTGACCGCTACCGAGAATGAGGTCTCGACCGGCGTGTCGTACCTAAAGTTCATCCACGAGGCTGTCGTTGGGCCCGCGACCGTTCCCAGCTCCAGCGTTGCCTCTAGCGTCGCTTCGAGCGCTGCCTCCAGTGCTGCATCCAGCGTTGCCAGCTCCGCGGCTTCCTCCGTCCCTGCGTCCATCACCTCCGCCCCGGTTGCCTCTAGCGTTGCCAGCTCGGCGATTCCCAGCAGCACCGCCACCGATGACGACGGTGATGACGATGAGGAGTGCGAGGATGAGGATATCAGCTCTGCTATCCCGTCTAGCTCTGCTATCCCATCTAGCTCTGCTATCCCGTCCAGCTCTGTTATCCCGTCTAGCTCTGCTGCCTCATCCGCCGCTAGCTCTGGTCCTTCGTCTGTACCTGCTTCTATCACATCTGCCCCTGTTTCTTCCAGCGTCGCCAGCTCTGCTATCCCCAGCAGCACCGCCACAGATGATGAGGAGGAGGAATGTGATGATGATGAAGACGACACCAGCTCTGCTATCCCCTCGAGCACTGCTGCTTCATCCGCTGCCAGCTCTGTTGCCTCGTCTGTCGCCAGCTCTGCTGCCTCGTCTGCCGTCAGCTCTGCTGCTTCTTCTGTCGTCAGCTCTGCTGCTTCTTCTGTTGCATCCAGCGCCATCAGCTCCGCTGTCTCCTCTGCCGCTTCATCCGCTGCCTCGTCGGCCGCTTCCAGCGCTGCCAGCACCGAGTCTGAGGAGTGCGCTACCCCCAGCAGCAGCGAGCCCATTGCCTCTAGCACTGCTCCTCCCGCCTCATCTGCTGCCAGCTCCGCCCCTGTTTCGTCTGAGGCGTCCTCTGCCCCTGTCTCTTCTGAGGCGTCCTCCGCCCCTGCTTCGAGTGTCCCTGCTTCCAGTGTCCCCGTCTCAACCGTCCCTGCTTCATCTGGTGCATCCAGCGCTGTTGCCAGCAGCTCGGTTCCCCACGGTGGTAGCTCGGCCCCCCATGGCAGCAGCTCGGTTGTTCCCACCACCGCCGGCTCGTCTACCGTACCTTCGATCACCTCGTCTGTTGAGTGGACGACATCCACTGTCTACTCGACCACCGTCGAGACTGTCACCTCATGCCCTCCTCACGTCACCAACTGCCCCAACGGACCTCACGTTGTCACCAGGACTATCGCTATCTCTACCACCGTCTGCCCTGTTACCCCCACCACGACCCCTGCCACCTGGACCGCGCTGCCCACCGGTTGGACTACCTCGACGGTTTACTCGACCACCGTTTACACTGTCACATCGTGCGCACCGACCAAGACCAACTGCCCCGCCCACATTGGCCACGTTACGACTGAGATCATCGCCGTTGGCACCACTGTCTGCCCCATCGCCGACAGCTGGCCCACTGGCGCTCCCGGCAGCTGGCCCAAGCCCGAGGGAACCCCCGAAGGTAGCTGGCCCAAGCCCGAGGGCACTCCCGAGGGAAGC